CTGGGTGAAGCGGAAGATGTTGTCGATGAAGAGCAGCACGTCCTGACCCTCCTGGTCCCTGAAGTATTCGGCCACCGTCAACCCCGTCAGAGCCACTCTGGCGCGGGCACCCGGGGGCTCATTCATCTGCCCGTAGACCAGGGCGACCTGCAGGCAAGACCCAGGTGTCGGTGCAACGCCACTGTGCCACCCACACCCCCGGCACCGCCGGGACCCCACTCGGCCCCTCGGGAGAGCCAGCACACCTTGGAAGTGGCGTCTTTCAGGTTGATGACCCCAGACTCAATCATCTCATGGTACAAGTCGTTTCCCTCGCGGGTTCGCTCTCCCACGCCGGCAAACACCGAGTAACCACCATGGGCTTTTGCCACGTTGTTGATCAGCTCCATGATCAGCACTGTCTTGCCGACGCCAGCACCTCCAAACAAACCTGGGAGGGAACGGGAATCTTGCTCAACCCCGAGCCAACACGGCTGCCCCCCCGTCTCCCTTCGCCCCTTTCCTCCTCAGATCAATAAACGTTGCTTCAGCAAGCTCAGAAGAACGAAAGTCAAATGGTTACTCATCAGCGAAGGAAACAACCACAGAGGGATCAGCCCTGAGCCTTGGCAGGGCTGAGTGTGACCCCCGCCAGGCACTGCTCAGCAGGGCTGGCAGGGTGCCCCCCTCACCAGAACCCCCGTTCCTCCGGGGACAGCATACCGATCTTGCCGCCCTTGGCGTAGGGAGCCAGCAGGTCCACCACCTTGATCCCCGTCACCAGGATCTCCTGTTCAACGCTCATCTCCACGAACTCGGGGGCTTCGGCGTGGATGGCAGCAAACCTGCAGCAGGAGGCGGAGAGAAATGGAGCTGAGCAGCTGAACCGAGACCCTCGGCCACAGCTCTGGATCACGACCCAGACGCGCTGCGTCCCCAATCACACGCGTGTCTGCTGCTCCAGAACCCACGCCCCCACCTCCGAACCCCAGATGACGCTGGCTCTTGGCCCGTGGCATCAACTCACTGTTTTGTCGTGATGGGGCCCCTCTCGTCGATGGGCTCCCCGATGACGTTCATGATCCTGCCCAGGGTCTCGGGGCCGACGGGGATGCGGATGGGTGCACCGGAGTCCAGCACTTTCTGTCCTCGCACCAGGCCTTCTGTCCCGTCCATGGCGATTGTGCGCACGGTGTTCTCCCCTGCCAAGGCCGAAGGACAGTGTCACGGCAGCGTCCTCGAGCTGACCCTGGGGACAGCTGCCGGTGGCTTCCCCGGGCCCTGCCAAGGGAGCAGTCTGCTGGGAGAAGGACCAAGAAGAGCAGCAGGGACAAAATAACACAGAGAAAAACCAAGCCAGGCCACACTCAGGCCACAGCCCTGCAGGCCAGAACCCTCTGGCAGCCATTTTCCTCCTCCTCAGATCGAAATCCGTGGCTTCAGCAAGCTCAGGAGAACGAAAGTCATCAAGACATCATCGCAGGAGGACCCCTCCCACCC